AAGGGACCTTGAGAGATCAAGTCCAGGCCTCTGTCCTCACAGCAGGACCAAATACCATTTAGATCATCACTGACAGATGTCTGTACACTACTCTTAATATCTCCAGTGATGGAGACTCTACAACCCTCCTATGCAACTTATTCCAGTGTTTAACCACCCTAAAAATTAGGAAGTTTTTCCTAATGTCGAACTTAGACCTCCTTTGGTGCAGTTTAAGCTCATTGCTCCTTGTCCTATCATCAGAGACCAAGAAGAACAATTTTTCTCATTCCTTCTTGTAGCACTTGAAAACGGCTATCATGTTTCCTCTCAATCTTCTCTTTTCTAAACTAAACAAGCCCAATTCTTTCATTCTTCCCTTATAGCTCATATTTTCTAGACCTTTAATCATTTTTGTTGTTCTTCTCTGGACCTTTTCCAATTTCTTCACATCTTTCTTGAAATGTGGTGCTCAGAACTAGACACAATACTTGAAATGAGGCCTAATAAGCGCAGACTAGAGCGGAATAATGACTTCTCGTGTCTTGCTCACAACACTCCTGTTAATGCATCCCAGAGTCATGTTTGCTTTTTTTTTTTTGCAACAGTGTCACACTGCTGACTCATATTTAGCTTGTGGTCCACTATGACCCCTAGATCCCTCTCTACAGTACTCCTTCCTAGACAGTCACCTCCCATTCTGTATGTGTGAAGCACATGGGAAGCAATTAGCACGTGCCTCACTTTACATGCCATTGCTTTACTTTACATGCAGGTCACTTTTGTAATGCTGGTAGGAAAATACATTAAGCAGACAGAAACCAGCAGAATCTAACAACCCTGTGCCTAGGCAACAGTTCACAAAATGTTTCGTGGGACACACATAGAACCCTGATGGGATGCATGTGGCTATTGGGCTGCAGGTTGCCCACCACTGCTCTACGTCATTGGGAGGATCAAGGGATTCTTTGTGATCACAAGGCTCAAGCTCTGTTTGTGAGCAAGGTAGAAGAGAATTGCATCCATGGAAGACTTGGAAAACTGGCTCTTCAGAGCCAGCAAAGTCAGCTGCAAAATCAAGAGCTGATGTTTTAATTTCTTCTTTGTATTTTCTGATTCTCTTAAAGGGTGTGTCTAGACTACAGAGTTTTGTCGACAAAAGTGGACTTTTGTCGACAAAACTATACCTGCGTCTACACTACCGCTGAGTTCTGTCGACATAATGTTGACAGAACTCAGCAGTTTTGTCAATGCTGGTAAACCTCATTTTACGAGGCATAACGCCTTTTGTCGACAGAGTTTTGTTGACAGAAGGTGTTATTGCATCTAGGGTTGTGTCTAGACTACAGGGTTTTGTCGACAAAGCAGCTTGCTTTGTCGACAGAACTGAATGTAGTCTAGACGCTCTTTGTCGACAGAAGCTTTGTCGACAGTATCTGTCGACAAAACTTCTGTCGACAAAAGCCTGTAGTCTAGATGTACCCAAAGATAAACCTCTAGGTGAACAGTTCAATATAGTGTAGCTGACATGTAAATACTTATACTTATTTACATTATATTATTAATGCTTATGTATGTTTTGACTATGCCCTTATAGATTCTGTGACGTGGTGCGGTCACAGATGACCCCCTCGGGGGTGCCACCCGGGGTGCTGACACCGCCACTGCCACTCACCCAGGAGCGGCCCGAGGCCGGCTGCGGCAACTGGTGCCCCAGGCAGGTGGCACAACCCAGTGACATCATCCTTGGGTGCCTGGTACACATTATTTATTAATGACCTGAATAGTGGGATGGATTGCAGCCTCAGCAAGTTCACAGATGACATTAAGCTATGGGGAGAAATAGATAGAGGGATAGGGTCCAGAGTGACCTGGACAAATTGGAGGTTCAACAAGGACGAATGCAGAGTCAACAGTGTGCCCTTGAAGCCAAGAAGCATTAGTAGGAGCATTACCAGCAGATCTAGGGAAGTGATTATTCCCCCTTGTTAGGAACTAATGACACTACATCTGGAATATTGTGTCCAATTCTGTCCCCCCCCCCGGTAACAATCGCTTACACTGGGTTTAATAGAAAACAAAAATGGTTTTATTAAACTGAAGCAGTAGGATTTAAGTCATAATAAGTGAAAACAGGCAGAGCAAAGTAGGTTACAAATCAAAAGAAACAAAACTGCTTTGCTAATTCTCCACTGAAACCTCAGTGCAAACTTAAACTCACCCTAAAACCTCTTTTCCAGCAGCCACTCTAAACCAGGGCTGTCTTCCTTCAGGTGCAGCCCAGACCAAAGACCCCGGCCTCTCCTTTCCTATTCCTTTTGTTAAGCAGTTGAGGCCACTCCCTACCAACCACTGCTCACACTTAAGGACAAAAGATTAACAGTGGCTCATCTAGAAGTTGCAGGGAACACCCTCCAAGTCTCCCATTCACACATTTGAAACTCACAAAGTGTTCCCCACTCCATGTGTGTCTAGACTACATGGCTCCGTCAACGGAGTCATGTAGATGAGTTTACGAGACGTAGCAAAATGAAGCGGCGATTTAAATAATTGCTGCTTCATTTACATCAAAATGGCCACCGTGCTGTGCCGATCAGCTGATTGTCGGCACAGCGTGGTAGTCTAGATGGGGATCAGCCGATCCCAGATCCCTTTGTTGTCAGATCCTTTATGCCTCGTCAGATCCTTATACCTTCTAAGGGCTCAGGCACTCCCTCTCATTCTCTGTTTTGTGTGATTGTTTTTTGTCTCCATGTGCAGGTTTTGAGGGCCATGAACTCCTTCCGGGACCCAGTCATGACCAGATTTGCTGCCCTGAGGTTCCCGAAATGCAGTGGAGCCATACATAGGACCCACATTCTGATCTGTGCACCACAACATTGAGCAGCCTAGTATATTAACAGTAAGGGCTACTTCTCCATGGTGCTGCAGGCCCTGCTCGACTACAGTGGACAGTTTACTGACATTTCTGTTGGGTGGTTGGGCAGGGCACACAATGCCTGTGTATTTGGAAACTCAAGCCTCTATGGCAAGCTGGAGGGGGGCACATTCTTCCTCTGTCATGACTTTTCAGTTGAGGACGAGCAGATGCCACTGTGCTGTGTTCTTCCTCATAGAAAGAGGTTTACCACTGTCAGAAAAACCCCTCTGTTCTTTCAAACGACTTTTTGTTGAAAGAATGAGATTGCAGTGTGGATGTAAGTGAAGTTTTTAAAGAAAAATGGCTGTTTTTCTGAAAAAAACTCTGCAGTGTAGACATACCACGTGTAATCCCAGCTATGGTAAAATTAATGGCAAAATTCCCATTGACTTCAACGAGGACAGGGTTTTACCTCTGCTAGATAGATGATGATGAACAAAAGTCAAATCAATCTGAAACACTACAGTAGTGTAGCAAGAGAAGTCTCAAGATCTATATGAGCTTGGTTCCAGTCACAAGTCTGAACACAGAGGCCGATGAACCTGAATGCATCCTGGTAGTAAGTGAACATAAGGACAGACATACTTGTTCAGATAAGTGGTCCATCCAGTCCAGTATCCTTATCTTCTGCCAGCGGCCCGGCCAAGTGTCTCAGAGGGAATGAACAGAACAGGGTAATTGTTGGGTGATCTATCCCCAGTTGTCCACTCATAGCTTTTGGTAGGTTGAGGCTTAGAACACCCAGAACATGGGGTTGCATCATTGACCATCTTGGTTAATAGCCACTGATGGACTGATTCTCCATTTAATTATTTTTTCAACCCTGTCAGACATTTGACCTTTACAACATCCTCTGGCAACACATTTCACAGCATGACTGTGCATTGTATGAAGAAGTGCTTCCTTTGCTTTGTTTTAAACTGTTTGCATTTTGTGTTAGGAGAGTAAGTGTGTTACTAACCATTTATACTAAAAGACTGCAAATACACCAAGCATTTTTTCAAATACATTTTAGTTCATTTGCGGAAGAAAAATGTACAAGCAGAACTTAAAATTAATATTAGTAACAAAAGGAAAATATAAGCCCTCAACATCAATAAAAATTAGTTACATGTGAAATTCTTAGCAACCAATTTCTGAAATATCAGCTGCTCCCATTTCAGTGTATGAATATTTTAAATCATCATTCATTTCAAACAGAAAAAACTAAGCATGTGCACAAATGGAGTCCTAGCACTTCAACAGGCTTTCGAAGAGGCCTTACGTGAGATGAATAGAGCACATGATTATATTTTTCCTGAATCGGGGCCTTACACAGTAAGGCTGTGTCTACATTGGCATGATTTTGCACAAAAGCACCTGCTTTTGCGCAAAAACTTGCTGCCTGTCTTCACTGGCGGGGAGTTCTTGTGCAGGAACACTGACGTTCTAATGTGTGAAATCAGGGCTTCTTGTGCAAGAACTATGATGCTCCTGCTCAGGAATAAGTCCTCTTGAGCAACTGTTCTTGCGCAAGAGGCCAGAGTAGACAGGCAACTGTTCTTGCGCAAGAAAGCCTGTGGCTAAAATGGCCATCGGAGCTTTCTTGCACAAGAGAGCATCTACACTGGCACGGATGCTTTTGCGCAAGCATGCTGTAAGAGAAACATGTAATGCAACTGACTAAATGCAACAGCTAATACTGAAAGTACTATAAGATTTTATTATTTTCCCCTCCAGATCTGCCATCAGTTTGGATGCTGGATGTGGCATGTTAAATGTAATAATATACAGCTGCTTTGTGCAGACAATGCATTCCATGAGAAGATATTTTTAATTTAAATACACCAGTAAATTTTATAAATAATAAATACATATATAACAAAAATGGCCCTCACAATGTCACTTTCTTTATAAATTAACACACTAAAATATTCATCAAATAAACACCATCATGTGACATTGCAAAATTTGTATCAAGCAAATAAATAAATAAATAAAGACATAAATAAATACATAAATATAAGATGCAATATTATAATACATAGAAAAGCATGATAGCTGACTATTTCAGTATAGCAAAATGCTAATTTGACCTGGTGTGTGCCATAGGCACCACTTAAATCTTGGGAACATACAAGAGCTGGGTCAATCACTGTCATCATATTAATCTAGTACAAAAAATATATGTGCCATGACTTCCTAATACATTTCAGAAGCAGTTTTTCCTCCCATCCATGTTTTACATCTTGTCCTTTGTCTGTTTCATTTTCTTCGGGAGTGAGGGGGCTTTCCTTCAGCCATTTCCCTGAAATCTCTTACTGATTACTAAAAAGTAAGACAAAGAAGACTGAGACAAAAATAATCTTTACATTCCCCAGACACATATTTTCAGTTCACTTCCCATTACATTTATGCCAGCCTATCTCCACTGCTGAAACACCATGGCCCCAGTTCTGCAAAGTGCACAGAGCCAGTTTTTCAAAGGTGTTTAGGGTGCAAAAAGATGCAGGTAGATGCCTAGTAGGATTTTTCAATGCACCTAAGTAGGGAAGGCACTTATCTCCCAGTAATGTCATTGATTTCAATGAAAGTTAGGCAACTTACACTCTGTGGTGCGTGGCAATGTTTTTAGAAGTGCCTATCAGTATCTTAAGCTACCTAAACACCTTTGAAAATCTGGCCCAGGACCAGTGTAATTTTATTTATTTAAATTTAGTGGGATTATTTACGTGGTCAAAGTTACAAATGTAATAACATGCTGTGCAGAAGTGTGGGCATGAACACCTTGAAGTCCAGGTGTTTTTTGAAAGAATTTTTCAAAGAATTTTTCCATTTTTTCCCAGTCTGCCCTATTTTGTCCATGGAAGAAGTCACCAATGCAATGTCTGTGCCTGCCTCAGAAAAGACAACGGTATTGATTTCTATTTTGAGCACCAAAAGGGTATTATCTGGAGAAATAATTAAAACTAGAATCAAACCAATGCGATAGCTTTCTTTGATAGGATAATGAGTCTTGTGGCTAAGGGAGAAGCAGTGGACGTGGTATATCTAAACTTTAGTAAGGCATTTGATACGGTCTCGCATTGACATTCTGATCAATAAACTAGGGAAATACAACTTAGATGGGGCTACTATAAGCTGCATGCATAACTGATTGGATAACCATTCTCAGAGAGTTGTTATTAACGGTTCCTAGCCATGCTGGAAGGGCATAACATATGAGGGTCTGTTTTGGGCCGGTTTCTGTTCAATATCTTCATTTACAATTTAGATATTGGCATGGAGAGTACACTTATTAAGTTTGCAGATGATATCAACCTGGGAGGGGATGCTTTGAAGGACAGGGTCATAATTCAAAATGATCTGGACAACCTGGAGATATGGTCTGAGGTAAATATGATGAAGTTTAATAAGGACAAATGCAAAATACTCCACTTAGGAAGGAACAATCAGTTTCACACACTCAGAATAGGAAGTGACTGTCTAGGAAGGAGTACTGCAGAAAGGGATATAGGGGTCATAGTGGACCACAAGATATACTAAATATGAGTCAACAGTGTGAAACTGTTGCAAAAAAAGCAAACACGATTCTGGAATGCATTAACAGGAGTGATGTAAGCAAGACACGAGAAGTCATTCTTCCGCTCTACTCTGCACTGATTAGACCTCATTTGGAGTACTGTGTCCAGTTCTGGGCACCACATTTCAAGAAAGATGTGAAGAAATTGGAGAAGGTCAAGAGAAGAGCAACAAAAATAATTAAAGGTCTAGAAACCATGAGCTATGAGGGAAGACTGAAGGAATTGGGTTTGTTAAGTATGGAAAAGAGGAGTCTGAAAGGGGACATAATAGCGGTTTTCAGGTGCTACAAGAAGGAGGGAGGGGGGAAATAGTTTTGCTTGGCCTCTGAGGATAGGACAAGAAGCAATGGTCTTAAATTACACCAAGGGAGGGTTAGGCTGAACATTAGGAAAAAGTTCCAAATTGTCAGGGTGCTCAAACACTGGAATAAATTATCTACAGAGGTTATGGAATCTCCATCACTGGAGATATTTAAGAACAGGTTGGATAGACATCTATCAGGGATGATATTGACAGTATTTGGACCTGCTGTGAGGGCAAGGGACAGGAATTGATGATCTCTATGGGTACGTCTAAAGTACATGGCTCCGTCGACGGAGCCATGTAGATTTGTTGTTTTGGCAAAGGCAAATGAAGCCGCGATCATTTAAATCGCGGCTTCATTTAAATTTACATGGCTGCCGCGCTGAGCTGACAAACAGCTGATCAGTTGTTTGTCCGCTCAGCGCGCTAGTCTGGACACTCCCCTGCCGACATCAAAGCCCTTTGTCGGCAGCCCCGTTATTCCTCATGGGATAAGGTTTCCCGGGGCTGCCGGCAAAGGGCTTTGATGTCGGCAGGGGAGTGTCCAGACTAGCGCGCTGAGCGGACAAACAACTGATCAGCTGTTTGTCGGCTCAGCGCGGCAGCCATGTAAATTTAAATGAAGCCGCGATCATTTAAATCGCGGCTTCATTTGCCTTTGCCTATGTGTCTAATCTACATGCCTCTGACGACAGAGGCATGTAGTCTAGACACAGCCTAGAGGTCCCTTCCAGTTCTAGTGTTTTATGATTCCCCTTACACATTCAAGAAACTCTATTTCAGTGTCTCCCTAGGGCTGGGAGACTCTCCACTAATTAACCCAAAAGAACTAGATTAAAACAGCTTGTCTGTGACACAAACCAGTTCACCTTGGATATATAGCTTGATCCAGTGCAGTCTCTTACACCTTGGCTGTGTCTACACTGGCAAGATTTTGCACAAAAGCAGTTGCTTTTGCACAAAATCTTGCCACCTGTCTACATTGGCCGCGAGTACTTGCGCAAGAACACTGACGTTCTAATGTATAAAATCAGTGCTTCTTGTGCAAATACTCTGATGCTCCCACTCAGGGATAAGCCCTCTTGTGCAACTGTTCTTGCGCAAGAGGCCAGTGTAGACAGGCAATGTTAATTTTTTGTGTAAGAAAGCCCAATGGAAAGCCACATCTCTTGCACAAAAGCACATGCCAGTGTAGACGCTCTCTTGTGCAAATACTTTTAACGCAAAAACTCTTGCGTTAAAAGTATTTGTGCAAAATCATGCCAGTGTAGACGTAGCTTGTGTATAGACCAGTCATTAGAGGGAGGAAAAGATCAACATTCTGTCAGTGTGATAGCAGTTCTATACTCTTACCAGATACTTCACTGATGACACAGTACAAATACTAACCAGGCAGAGAGAACTTTTAATGACTGGTGGTTCCAAGTGAGAACTAGATACATGTTTCCTGTCTAGTATAAATGAATTATAAATATTTCTCAAGGGCTTTGTTCCCTTAAAGATATTTCAAGAAACAGAAGTAGTAAGGGCTAATAAAATCTACTATTTAAGAAAAATAAGCCACATAGACCCATTTCCTTCCACAAAGCCAAAAGTCAATTCTGCTACTGTGATAAATGATGCAGTGAGCTTTACCTGCAAAGTTTCCAGTCACTCCAAGATGAATTGTAATACTGATCTCTGGCCTGGACATAGATCTTGTCAAACTTGCTTGTCTTTGACAAATGAATGAACTGTTCATCAGTATCATAAAACTATGGACAAAAACACAGTTCATTAAAAAGACTGTAAGAAGTTAAGCAATAGTTACTCAAACATCAAGTTAACATTTAGTTGATCTTGTTACAAAAATGAAAATATGCTCATAGAAGTTATTGCTGCTGTACCAAAGCATAGAGGAAGTAGAATTAAACTGATTTGAAATACCCTTGTATGCCCTTTCATAGTGTGATTTCCATTGGTGTACATGCTATAAAGAGCACTTGTAAAGCTAGTCTACACTATTTATATTTTTAATGAGGCATTTCCTCAGTGCCAAAGAACCATTACGAAGGAGATGGCTCCATCTGCTGGCATTCTCTTTCTTCATGTTTTACTTGATAAAGTGATCTTTTAACACATTAGGTCTGGTGATGAATTGGAATAAGTAAGTATCATATAAATTGTTTTATTTTCTGTTATAAGTTTTGGCAAATGTCAATCAGAATGTGGGGATAAAAGCAGGCATAGATCCATACTTATGTACCCACATGGATATTATCTTATTAACATTTTGGACTTAGGATTCTATTGTAAAGTGATGTTAATGGAAATGTATGGATGGGCCCTCAGTTTCTTTACCATTCTTTTTAATTTTAATATTCAATTTTTATTTCTTTGACTATTTTATATAATTGGATTTTATTTTATGCTTCTATATTATAGATTTATGTATATTTCCTGATGAATTATTCCTGAGTGAATTCATAGCTACAAGTGTATTTCACTATTTTTTATGTAAAGTAAATCCTTGTTTACAGTAAAAGAAAGTCCCTATCTGGATACAGCAGAGCTATGGTTCAGGTCCAGGACTAGTAGTCAGAAGATGTAGGGGTCCTTTCCTAGCTTTTCTGCTGGTTTCTGGAGCCACTGTGGACAAGTTACCACATTGTTGTTGATGAACTTGCATAGCTGTATTAGCAATGGAAAGAAAACTGTTTTTTGACTTCTTAAAAATTAATATTAGGGCTTAAATCCACTACCAAGAGATGGATGCTATGGTAATCTATCCAGATGGGGTCTATTTAGCAGGCCTTGTAAAGACATGCTTAACAGACCACAGCAATCTTTCCCATCAATTGTAATACTCCACCAGGATAAGAAGCTTACAATAAGTCGAAAGGAGATTTTCTCTCATCGACCTAGCACCATGTAAACACAAGTTGATCTAAGCTATGTTGACCTGACCTTACTTAATAATGTGCTGCTGGAAATTGGCAAAGACTAAAACATCCTTCAATCTCTCAGGGAGTGTGAGAGCATGAGTTTTTTTTTTTAAATCTGTTAGCAAGAGCTCTTGTGTGCAAATTGACATGCGACCCAATATGGCAGAAATTAGGCTGCCTTTGTACCTGGTGTAGGAAAATGTTGTGGATTTTCCCCAGCTCATGATCCATTAAGCAGAATAATCCTGAGGCAATAGATACCTTCTTCTCATGCTAACATGACTGTACAATGCTGGGTACATAGACATGCGCAGAGGGTGTGTTGGGTGTGCACACCCTAATATCTTCGGCTGGCTAGCAGCTGTTGAAGGAGGAGGGGGATTTGAGACGGGGTATCACAGCCCGTCACTTTCCCCGTGGCCATCTCCGGGGCGCTTTGGGGCAGAGAGTGTGTGTGTGTGGCGGAAGCATCTGGGGCCGGATCAAAGACACCAGTCCGAACCATTTTTTTGCCCCAAGCCCCACCCGGCCCAGCAGCACCATGTGGCCACCTTTCTGTGGATGGGGGTGTCTCCGCCCAGCCCGGCCCGACAGCACTGCGCGGCACCCCTTCTGCCCCTGGGGCCACGGCCCTGGCCCTGGCCCCGCCCATCCTTCAGCCTGGCCCTGAGCCAGCAGCTGGAGCAGCTCCACAGACTCCAGCCCCACAAACTGGAAGGCAGAAGGTTGGGGAGGGGAAAAATAGGAAGGAAGGGGCTTGTGCTGAGGGGAGGGGGGCAGGGCAGGAGAAGAAAGGGGAGGGCACCAAGGGACAGGGTGCAGGAGAGACAAATGCCAGGGGACCAAGTGCAGACAATGAGGAAAGGGGCAGGAGGGGAGGTGTCAGTGGGAGGGGGGACAGGGTGATGCTGGGAGAGGAGAGGGGAAGGGCATTGGAGGTTTGAGGGGGAGGAGGAGGTGCTGGGAGAAGGCTTGAAAGAAGGGGTGGGCATGAGGAAGGCAGGGATGGAGCAAGACATGTGAGGGGACAGGGGCATGAGGGGAATGGGGGCAGAGGGGAAAGAGGCAGTGGGTATCAGGGAAAAAGAGGGCAAAGGAGGCAGGGGCAGTGAGGGAAGGGCAGAAGGGCAGACACCTGCAGGGGAGGGACAAGCACCAGAGGAGAGGCAAGGCAGGTGTGCAGAGGGAGGTGTTAGGAGAGGGGATCAGAAGGGGTAGCTCACATGATCAGAGTGGGGCTACTGGAGGAGTGGGTACAGGGGAGAGAGAAGGGCTGATGGAGGGGGCCAGGTCTCAGGAAGGCTGAGGACAGTGAGAAGAGCAGGAGTCAGGAGAGCAGAGGAGGGTGAGGGGTTGGGGGGCAGCAGGCACGAGGGGAGATGATGGAGCAAGGGGAGATTTGGCAGTAGAAGGAAAAGGTAGCAGTTTATAAGATGTTTATTAATAACAGTGGCACATCCAAACAAGCCACATGAACTCAGTACTGGTACACAACACAAAATTCATTCTGCTCATGGGAGGAAACTCTTAAAGGGAAAACTTCCCCAGCCTCTCTGCCTCTGAGTTAATGTCACACACATTGAGTTAATGCAACTGCAGGATAGTTGCATAAGGGGGGTTTGGTGGGAGCCAAACTAATTCCTATTGGTAGGAGGATGGTGGGAAAAGACCTTGGGGGGGGGGTCACATGACACCTTTTACTTCTGGTCATGTGTCCATCTTGCACCGAGAGTGTTACCTCTAGAGGTGTGGACAATGGGAGTCGGGGTGTGGCCAATGGGGGTCAGGGGCATGGCTAATGGGGGTCACAGTACATTTTAAAAAAATTCTTCGGGTGCACACCCTAATGAAATGTGCTGCGCACGCCTATGGCTGGGTGTATATTGTTTTTTACTCTACCCTCCACTTTACTACCAAGATCCACTCTTCTCCAGTTGATATGGTATATTAGTATATAGTATATTGGCACAATCTTAAAATAGAGCACTTACTTTGATTGTGTTTCATAGTCAGAAAGATCCCTGACTCTGAGACCCAAAATGTGGGCAAATAGCGAAGACATAATAAGGGAAATGGGTCATATCAGGGTGACTTCTGTGGTGTTCTTTAGAAAATATGTCAATAGTAGACTTATTTATTTATGTTATGTTAGCATTTAGATACCTTGGCTAGGCTAGAGTTCCAGAAACATTGCACAGATGTACAGTTTACAAGAGACCTTGCTGCAAAAATCTTACAACATAACAACTGGATGAAGTAAATAGATGGGCAGGAAGAGTAAAAGAGGAAAGAATAACAGAGATAACAGAATGGCACCTTCAAGAGTTATTATAATAACTTCTAGGCCACAAGCACATGACTGAGATTGGTAATTAAAGGCCATGGAGATGTTTCTATGGAAATATATTACTAAATACTAAGAATATCCTACAATAACCAAGTGCTTTTCATTACAGCGGGTCCCAAAGCATTATCCAAACTACAGCCCTCCAGTCCTTATTGAGATCAATAGGTAATCTGAGTTAGGATAGCAGAACTGGTTCAGATACATACAGTAATCATTGAACCTGCCATTGAAATAATCAGACATTCAACCCATGTTACTTGGATGCTACTGTGTTGATGAACAGAGATGTGGGACAAGTTCTTAAAAGAATGCATGACACACATTCAGAGTAATGAGAGCTCCCTGTTACAAATACCTTGTTTTTTTGAGGTGTTGACTCTTCAGCATTGACTTTAAATGTCAAAGGGAAATAAGACTCTGGTATGTTCCATGTTCTGGGGTATTTCCATGTCACTGTGCCATTTTTTACCACATACTCGCACTCGGGAGGGTCAGGTTTTACTTTAAGAGAAAATAAGGACAGCATTAGCATGAAATAACTACATAGCATCAGCTGTTTGTACTTTATTAGTACTAATTATTAAGTTAAACAACGGTTGGAAACCATAGCAATTTAGGCTAAGATTGTGCTTGAGGGTTAGGAACCATATTGTATCCTCCTATGGAAGAGGGATCGTGGTCACACAGTTCCTCTTATGTGAGACTCTTCAAGGATGACAAGATTTGGAGAGCTGCAGAAGGCAAAGGGAAGGGACTGAGCCTCAAACTCTGTGGATGTATAGAATGCACAGGGAAGGAAAGTGTTAATTTGGCAGCATGGCTGCTTCTCTGGCATGCTGAACAACTTCCCTTTCCCTCATGGTAGCATGAAGACCTCAGGAGCAACTTTCCCATCAAGCTGTCTGTTTTTGTGTGCTCAGCATCCCTCTCTCCTTTGAGGTATTGATATGCAGAAGTTAGGGTCACCAGATGTCCCAATTTTATAGGGACAGTCCTGATATTCAGGGCTTTGTGTAGAATAGGCCCCTATTCCGCACAACCATGTCCTGATTTTTAATGCTTTCTATCTGGTCACCTGAGCAAGAGTGGGTATCTGGAGTTTGTACTGTTCCAAGCACCATGCAGGTATTTACTGGGAAATCTGTTCTTTTCAGAGGGAAGCGTATCCAAAGAGCGATTGGTTTCTGGTTCTGTTCTTTGCTTTCCTCTGCCTGGACCTTCTACTACTCTGGAACTCTCAATCCATGGAAAGGACTAGAGGGGATCCCGTGAAAACTATGATGGGGCATATTCCAGAGAGACATTGCTTCTCCACGTCCTCAGCCAAAAGGCACTAACTTTTGTTTCTGCTGGTGGATGCTTTGGAGTGAGGGTGGGAGGTGGGATGAGGTATAGCACAGGTGGAGGCTCAGGGGAAGGAAGTGCACCAGAGGCGGGAAAAGGCTCAGTATAGATGGGGCTATGGGGGAAGATGCCAAGAAGGGACAAGGCCTCTGGGTGGGGCACAGGCAGGGCCATAGTCCAGCCACTGGTGACTCCCTCACTTCTTAGGAATTTCTGGCCATGGTGCTCCAGCATGCCTCCACAGAGAGGTGCACCTGCATCCAGTATTTCTAGCCCTGTTCAAACCACTTACACCTACTGTCCAGGCTGTGGCAAATGGATGCTGACACTCCCTATTTTTTTTACTGGGTGCTTGAGCTACCGAGCATCTATGAAGTTGACACCCATGCTCTACCGTCTTCCTGGTTTCTGCCAAGTTTTGTTCTCTTTTACTCCAGTAAGGGGAGGGATGCCTACAGGCCTAGTAAGCAGTTATAGTGGGGTGGGTGTTAATCACTCTTAGCCCTCAGGTGAGGTCAGAGGCACACAGATGACATAGAAATAGTGTGGGGAAGCCAGTACTGTTGGAACAGTAAAGTCACCAATCTTCACTATTGTCCCTAAACACCCATTTACTCAGGATCACTGAATCCAGTACAAACTTTACACACTTAAACATAAAAGCTGATATCTGATCCACTCACTGATATCTCGGATGAAGAAGCTGCTGGTGCAGTTGTCATATTGTGTCTCATCAATAACTTCCAGGAACATCTCAGTGGGCTGATGCTCCTCAGCAAATGGGCAGTGATTGATTTTCTGACAACTGACTGTGTACGTTGTCTCTAATTCATGGCGTTGAGGCACAGGGCTTCCACAGATGACATTTCCAGAAACATCCTCTTGAGATCTGAATTCAAAGCAGGGAGTGATAATGGAAATGCTGAAGAGCTCTGAATAAAGTGTTGCTTATGGATGCTTTGGAGGACACTGTCTCGTCTGGGTTCTGGGCATACACTAGAGACAGTGTGTGTCATTCTCTTCCTTAATGATACTATTTATTGACTAGTGTGAAAGATCTAATGTCTAACTTTACTCTTCAGCCTTTTCCCCAAAACTCAGCTGGTTCCACATGTTTCCATTAACAAATGACACCACACAGTGTTACCAGAATGTGACTGTATTCTTGCATCCAGCAAATTATGCTTTTCTGTTATTTCCTCTTTTAACAAATAAAAATAACACAGTGCCAGAGCACTCCCTGCCTTGGAGAAACCCATTGGAGGTGGTGGTGGGAGATAGGAAATCCCCGAGAGGTTTTCCTTATAGTGAAATCCTCAGGGTTCTACAAAACATTCCCTTGAGAGGGAGAATGCTTGCCCCCCTCCTCAATCCCACTGAGCAAGGGGGAGAGATGGACCCTGAAAGAAGATTTGTTTCTATGTCTGGTTGAAATTCCTTTCCTTCTCGCCTGCAGCTTTACTGCCTGAGTCACTCTGTGGCTGCATTACAGCATCTGCAGAGAAGATCCAAAGGAAGTTGATTATACTGCCATGCAGTAATTCAGGGGGACTGTCCCACAGAAGATGTCCAATGTGCTGGTCCACATCCTCAAATTAAGATCGTGGCCTTCCCCCTGCCCAGTTCATGTGGTAGGCAGCCAATCAGTCTTTAGAGTACCTCTGCTACATGGTGTCAAAGGGGTATTCTGGCCTTATTATGTTAATGAAGTGTTTAAGGAAAGTACAAGCTCTTACCCTTTTAGACTTTTGATTGTGAACTGCACATTTGGACTCTCATTTTCTGTCTTCCATGAACATACGAAAATCCCTGAATAATTCTTTGCCTCACATTTTAAAAATGTCATGTTGTTTGGTTCTGGATTGGAAGAAAGAGGAAAATTGATTTTAAAAAAATTATCAAACCAGTAAAATAGTAACGCTATAAATCCCTTATGGCAGATAGTGACTCCATTCCCAGGAAGACAATGCACGGTATACACATCAGCTGGACAGTGGCTAGAAGTTTGCTGGTATCCAAAAGTGACACTTAGGAATTATGTTTTTCTCAGAGTTAATTCACTTCATTTATATGTTTTATTTTTTAGGATATTTTCCAAATATTAAAAAAGCAAACCACATATTTTCAGCAAAGCATTTCCTTTCTCTGTCTATTAGATTGTTCACCATTCTGTTTGTGACACATTTCAAAGATGGTTTTATAATGCTCGGGGTAGGAATCATGACTATGGATGAAAAGATTCCTTCTTTCTAACACTGTTTAGTGGCCCCAAAAGGAAGACAATAAGATGATAGCTTTCTTTGGGAGAGGTCAAAGGGGAAGAAGAGTCATTCCCCCTCATGCTGTGAAGTTGTTCCTCAGTTGCTGCTCCAGGGGCTTGAGTAGCCTTAGCATTTTGTTGCATAGAGGAAGAATCTAAAGATTCTTGTAATGTCACAGTCTCAACTCATCCTTTGTGACAGCATGTAGGAACCCCATGTACAGCTGTACTTCCCAAATCCTGCTCCTGTATTACATAGCAGATCTGCCTAGTTCTGCCATAGGTGGGGGCCTCTCCACCCATGTAGGAGAGGACATTCTTTGCCTCCTCATAGCTGAGCTGCACTTTGAAGATGTACTATGCTAAAGACTAATCCACGTCATTAATCATGCACTGTGCTCCTTTCCAGTGAGTTTTCCTTTTTTTGGTGATGCTATGGCACATACTATACATGGAAATGACAGCACACTGTCTCAGTACCTTACCTTTAAAACTTTTTAGAATCCACTTCGATATTTGTCTGCTCGAGTCTTTTTTAGTAATAAGGAAAAAATAGTAATTTAAAATCTCATCGGTATCACTTTTCTGACAGGTGTAGTTGCCAGCATCTGGGAATTCCTTTACTGAAATGGTTAGGGTCTTGCCAGTTGCTATTCTTTCCTCATCCTTCATCCAGTAGACAGACATAGCTTGCTCTTCAGATATATTGCAGGTGAGGTCTACTTCTTCAGGCGGTGCTTCCTGCGTCCACTCTGACTCTATGACATAAACTATAAGGAAATAAATGTTGAGTGTTAGTCATGAGTAAAGTGCTGGTAAAATCAAGCCACATCTTAGGCCCAGCACTGCTGTCCATGAAACTACTGGCAAAATACCACTGGCGTAGATAAGAATTTCTGGCAAGATTTCCAGGTTTCAAATGTAAATACGAAATGCATATGAAACGTCATGAGCAACCAGTGTTATCTGTGCTGTCTCAGAGAATTTGTCATAAGCACAACCCTGCAAAGCATTTCACAGAGAGGGAAAACAAGGCCCAGAGGCCCAGGCATTCCCCCCTACATATGCTTAAAGCCCACTGGCTTTAAACATGACTACGCATGAGCTAAAAATGAAGAACATGCTTAAATACTTTCCATGATCCAGGTTTAAAACCCAAAGGCCAAATCCTACCCACCTTATTCCTGCAAGGAGCCCACTGACATCAGTGGAACTCCTCGGATAAGTAGATTACTGGATCTCAGTCTTTTGCTCACAGAATGAGGGGTAAAATATCTCTGCAGCATTGTATTCTCCTTCTGGGTTCCCTGGAGAGCTCTCTGCAGTGTGATGGAAAGGGGACAAATGGGCAAGCCAGGAGCATATCTTGCCTCCTCCAAAAGTCCCACAACCTGATACTGCATTGTTTCCTGCAGAAAGTCTGGCAGCTCTTGCAGCATGGTCTCAATGAAGTGGCTGCTAGGAGACAGATGATTCCAGAGCAGAGGTACAGGGCCTCCAACAATTAGTCATGATCCTTTGAATATTCTCCAGTCACTCTATGGAGCCCTTCGCTCCACACAGTGAGAAACTCTCCTTTATGAAACAACGGAGTAAAACTTTGTTAAGCAATCTTTGTGACTTTTTCTTCCTTTAATCCTGCTCTTGCTAGGTTTTTCCAGATGGTGGAAGGCAGCAGTTAAGGCCACACATATGTGTAAATGAATTGCTCAGGGGCAGACTGAAGGTAGAAATCAAGACTCTTCTTCATCCTTACCAAAGTTAAGAGCCTTTATTTGCACTTTCACTGACACCAGTTCTACAAATATAGCCATTGCCCCATATAACCTGTCTACCTTTTCTCTTCTGCCACTGACACATGAGCCTCGGTTGCCATTAGTGTCCACTAGGTTTGTGAGTTTCCCAGTGTGTGAGTACATTTACTGCAGATTTACAAAGCACCACAACCAGTGCCTTTTTTGTTAAAAATAAAAGGTCCTGGTACTCCAGGGGAAAAGTTGTTGAGCTCTGACTGGAGGTGGTGGTACTGCGTATCAGGCAGTACTGTCACAAAAAAGCACTGCCCACAACTGCACTTAGAAGTGCACCACTCAGGCTGGAAGGAAACATCAGTTTCAGCAACTAACCAAGAGAGCTTTGCAGTAGGAGATTTCCAAATGGATGGCTTTAAACCAAATAACACTGCTAACTATAGGACACTGAATCTCATCACAACAGACCGTGTAGACTGCTTATTAAAGACATGAATGTCAGTATACAAGCTAGGGTTTTCCAATCTGCCTGTGGGTATCAGGAAGCAGAGGCACTAGGAAATGCCAGAGAGGTACTAAGACATACATTTGTAGTTTCTATGTAGTGGTAGACACACTTGTAGTTTAAAGTGCCCCTAATATTGCTTAGGGACACTACGACTTATTATTATGACCTAAAGCTATCAGCAGAAGTTGTTGAAATAATCATTACAAATAATATTCCTTACAGCAAGACCATTTTGCACCTTGAGAAGTCCCAATGAAGTCAATGGGGATGCTTGTGGACTACGGTGCTTGTCAGCATGAATCGGGGGATCAAATAAGACCATGGAAATTTAGCTCCATTCTCTGGTAAGTGAATAATACTGTCACTGATTCTTTGAATGAATTCATATTCACAGTTATTTTCTCTGAACACCTTAAATTAAATGTTTTCAGGCATTTTTTAAAAAAAAATGTTCACTTTGACTATTTGCAATTCATTACTTGTTTGTGGGTTGTCACCTAAGTCACAAGATACTGTTTCTGCTTCCTGGTTGCATGACTGAAACTCTTGAAACGGGACAACAATGAATAGGGAATAAGGCAGTTTCTGCTGTGAATTCTCAGATGAATAATCATGTTGCTAAACTTCGTGAAGCTTTTAGGACTCCTGAATCTTTTCCTGAACACCCAGCAATAATCTCAATTCTCATGAAAAATTAAGTATATGACCCCATGAATTATAGCTAATGAAATTCTGCTTTTATTCACAAACACATTTGTGAATACATTGGTTTTAACTGTTCAATCAGTGTTAGTTTTCAGTGAATGAAGATTACTTACCATTCTCCTTCAGTTTCCACTTTGCTTCCAGAAGGATTGCAAGAGAAAATAAAGAAAGTAGGGCAAAGAGTAGATGAGACATCTGTGGAGTGTGGGGAAAAGAATAATTAATAAGCCTGCTTGGATGAAAGGTAGTCATCGGTATTATTGATTGAGCCCCTTATACCTATTAGTGTGCTTAGTAGTAGGCTGTATGAAGAAGACATAGTGCCTGCCTGAAGGAGCCAAGAGACCCCATTCACAACACGCTTAGCTATGCCAATAATCCTTCCTCATGAGAGGAGTCTCATTTAAGTTGATGGAGCTCCTTATAGGAATAAAATGAGTAGGATTTAAAGCCAATGAAGCTGCTTATGTGCTTAATATTAAGCATACACTTAAGAGTTTATTTGGACCAGCATCTTATTCAGCACTTACTCAGGCAAAATTCCTACTGAAGTCTGTATCACATAATTGTTAATAACTATATTTGCAAAAGTGGACAGAACATGTGAGTAGACTGAGGCCTTAAATACATTCCTCTGCACTGTGCTTTTAATAGACAGGGTGAAACTAATACACAACTGTAGTTCTGAATTCTGGAGTTTTGAATTTGCATGTGCAGCATCCATGCAGGGGAGCTACAAAGCTGCCCTATGGTGTGAACTGCTATTCACACGCCCTCTAATCTGAACTAGGTGGCAGTATAGACAAGCCATTGGTCCTTCTACTGGTACCCATAACTTTAAAGAATGATTGAAAATTTTCCATCAGAACTGTTTCTTTTTTTGTGTAACCAAGTATTTAATTAAACTAAAGCTTTCCCTATAAGAGCCCAGTTTTTGAGGAATTGTTTAATTCTTTGTCAAAAAACAAGCAGAAACCCAAATTGCAGTTTCCCCTGTTGTCAACAGAGATGTTTTGGGGGCTTGGGGTTTTTTGATGAATATTCAAAAATTTCAATGAAAAACCATTTTTCCATGTTCACCTCAATTTTCATGAGAAAGAAAACCCACTTTCTGATCCGCTCCGATCATAATCTGAGTATCTACCCTGTGATTAGATGTGTATGAACAACATACTTAATTGACACCAACTGGCCCATACTTTCATTAACTTCATTTACATCAGTTAAGGATCTGGCTATATATGTGTAATTCATATACAAAAACATAAATGTTGGTAATATATAATGTATATTTCAATTTTATTAACTGTAAACATGCAAAGCTATACGTTATATACATATCACAGTATGTATAAATACATAAAACACCTGCTTTCTAGGCTATCTTACTTTAGCAGAATAACAAGGAGTCCTGTCACACTTTAAATATTTGTTATTCTTTAAGGTGCCGCAGGACTCCTTGTTGGTTTTTCTGAAACAGGATAACACGCCAACCCTTCTGAAATTGAGCAAGAATGTAAACTGAAAAATCTTCCACTTTTTTGAGGGGTAGAGGCTCATGAGTGTATTTTATATAACTAATATCTTTTGACTTCATCTCAGATGCCCCAGTGTAGAGATGTTTTACCACAGAGCAATAAGAATGATTTCTTACCTTTTCCAGTGGAGCTTGTTAAGTGATGCTGCTGGAAGTGGTGGTTCTATGGATCTGACAGCAGCTAGGTGCTGGTTGCTTTTATATTTGTAAACTCTGAAAGTAAAGAGATACTTTGTTTCACCGCAATACCACAGAATTGCAACATGTGGAGTGAGTTCCTTTTTTACAGAGTGATAGCGTTAAAGCAAGAAAATAAGAAAAAGTTTGGGAGTCCCAGGTAATCTTCAAAGAGGAAATGGGATTATTTCGATGACCTTTATTCCATTCCAAAGGCATTTCCTTTCCTGCTCTCATTCTCTGTTGGTCTTTCTTATACAGTTTATTTCTTGCGATGGGGAAAATGCAAGTAAATAAACTTCCAATGTTGTTTGATCTGGAATTTTGTATATTATGAGAGAGAAAGCTAACACACTTAATCTTTTATTAACTGTTAAATATAAGAGGGATGCTAACAATCTAAATAAAAGCTCTACTAACAAAACATTTAAAACGTCAATGATCATAATATTGAAAACATGGGAACAAATATACACGTCATCTAAGGAAAAAAAACCCTTTGGTTTTCTGGTTAACTTTAAAAATGAATAAGTGATATATAGACAGTATTCACAAGGATTCATTGCATTATTACTAATTAGTAATTAGTAATTATTAGTTATTGACCATTAATTATTAATTATCAATTATTAGTTATTAATTATTACCTAATAATTATTAATTATTATTATTACCCCAAGTAGGGATTGAAGCCTCATTGTGGACACACATATAGCATCAACAACAACAAATATTAGCTGCTGCAAATTGTTGCAAATGATTCTGCAGTTACAGCACATGAGCACATAGGGCTCCGTATAGGAGCAGCAATGTACACATGTGTAATTAGTTGTAAGTTTGGGGCCCAAAATAGGGTAAAACAACAGGTCAATACAACAGATAGGCAGGAACAGTGCAAATTATCTGTGAGACAAAGGTTAACATAAAACCCTGTAGTCACAGCCCACCCGTGTGTGAAAATCGTCACATGTTTTGTAAGCAGTGCTGAGTTTAAGGACAGATCTGAAAGAGGACATTGTAGTGTCTTTGTGGACAAAACTTGCCAAGTGGCAAACATATAGCCCTATCTCTTGAACCTATATCTTGACCAAAGTCAACTTCTAACTTCTCTTCACCAGTGATGCCAACCTTCATCATCCAATTCCACACTTCTCCAACCAGCACTTTAGCATGCTCTCCTCTACCTTCCCTGACAACTGAAAAAATCTCCCAATCAAAATCTGTAAATGAACCATCTTGTACTCATTCTGCTCTCTCTCCAAAATCCATTTGAGCTGGAATACAGTAAAGCAATCTGATCATGACTGGGCAGAGAGATCGTTGCCACTAATCCACTAATAAAGATTTGCACATTGTATTATAGGTATCTTTTATCTTGTCTACCTCAACCCCTCCCAGCTTGCATAATAGTATCATCCACTTGTTACATCCTCTCTCTTTTAGATAGTAAGCTCTTTACATACAACATCTTACACAAAGGAACCTAGCCCGGTTGTGGATTTTGGGGCACCAGCCAAATAATTAGTATTAATAGTAAACGTGTATATGTTTATACAATATATAATGCGTACATAAATATCTATAATACATACATGTTCTAAGTTAATTCCAAACACAGACCAAGCCATAAAATATAGTGACCATGATACAGGACAAGAATCCTGGTTCACAAACATGAAGTGCAGATACATCTATATGGAACTTCCATGCCTAGATAGTTATCTGTGATCCATCAGAGTGGAATTTTTAAATATCAAACCATAGCTATTGTGAAAATATCTCTTGATGTCAGTCTGTTTTTCCATTATGATCTCATATATTCGTAAGGGGAAATTTAGAGGACGGCATTTGGTCCCACCATTTTATCCCACTTCCTCTATGGCACTGAACGAGAGAGAGAGAAAGAGAGAGGTGGAAGCTATAAGTTAGTTTGTTTTGCTTTCCAGTAAAGCAATAGAAAAGCCCTAAAAAACCAGGATCATTCCACAATTAGGACTATTCCAGCCTCATCCCTTTCTATTGAATATAACCAGATTAGAAAATTATCTCCTTTGTCTAATCTTTAAGGGGGTGAAGGAGGCAAAGACCCAAAAGTCAAGGTAAAAGTTTATGTAAGATTAATAAGATGATTAAAGATCACGCCAGAAAGAGAGACACGTGAAGGCGAACAGGGATTTGTGCTGTGATCAAAAAGGTGCTGCATGTTTTCTTTTTGATACGTTTCCCTCAGTGACACAAGATTGCTTTAAAACTCTTCTTTTACATATGAATTCCCTTTTCACGATAGTCTGAGGGTATGTCTCCACAGAAGGGCTAAAGATGAATTAAGCTACTCAACGTCAGCTATGCCAATTGTGTAGCTGAAGTTGAAATAGCTTAACTCGGCTTTTGGCGCTGTCTAGATAGCAGGAAATCGAAGGAAGAACATTCTTCCTTCAACTTCTCTTGTTCCTTGTAATATGAGGGTTACCATGAGTAGGAGTAAGAAGTTCTCCAGCTTGTCTGCTGTGTAGACATACCCTGACTGTTCAACAGGTGACATTGTCTGATTTTTCAAAGATATCACACAAGTTTAAAAACCCAGAAAAATAATGCTTCAAACTCATCTGTTCAATCTATCAGCCATCTCTGAAAAAGCTGACAATAATTGACAAATGGATTATAGCTCATAGAGCAGAGAGGATATCCATCCTATAGAAATCAGGTACATCAGTTCTGTACAGGATGTTAGTGGCATCATTGTTTCACAACAGGATGATACTATGCACAGAGTGTGTGCTCACAAATATATACATAAAGCTGGCTAAAATTTTCCACACAGAAAGCTAACCCACTGAAAAATATGGCTTAGTCAAAACAGAAACTTTTCACAGGAAAATCTCAATTCTGATTAATTTCAATTCTCCAGCAAGAAATAACAAAACAAAAATGTATGTTTTAAATCAGCATTTTGAAAATAAAAGACAAGTTTATTTTTGTTTTGCCATAAAATGTCATTTCATTCCAGATTTTGGGTTGAAAAAAAGAACTAAATAAAGCAACATTTTATGTTCCAATATCGATTTGAAAGAACAATTTTCATTTCATTCTGATAAATATTTTGGTTATTACTTTTCTGATTTTTAAAATTTTTTCATTCCACTACATTTTGGATATTTGGACTAGAAATCCAATTGAGAACAGAAATGTGGGTTGACACTTTCCTCACAATGAAAAGTGCATTTTCCAAACAGCTCTATGCAAACCCAAACCTAAACTCAAGCCTGAACAACTCTATGCAAATACAGGTGTGGTGACAAACATGTACCTCACCACCCTCCGTCTCTTCCTTCTACGTTCACATGCTGAGAGGCTTTTGAAAACAATGCAATCACAGGGGTTCCTCTTCCGGAATTTCCTTCAATACCTGGCTAGATATTTAGTGCGGGCACTCAGGGATTGATGCCAAATTTCCATTTTATTCTCAATACATCAATGAGGAAAAAGGAACTCTTGCTTTTTTATATAATTTACGAAACACTAATTTCTCCCTTGCATCAGGAAGTAGTGCTTAGCTGAATGCATCATAGAACTTCAGTGAAATATGACATTATTTAACTAAGGTCAAACCTTCAAATAAACATCTAAATAAAGTAAAGAATGAAATAGTAAGAGCATTCTGCATATACATTGGCCTTTTCCTGATAAAGGATCCCAAAGTGCTTCATAAAGAACACATTAAAAGTTAAACTATACAAATACAAGAGTTTGGTAGTATAGAAGTACCAACCACTATCATGACACCACTGTGCTAAATGCTGTGACTATGGTACATCTAGACTGCAGTGTTTTTCCAGAATAATGTGTGTCCACGCTGCAATTGCATACTTTCGCAAAAAGTCGAAAGAACAGGGGGCTTTTTCAGACGGCAGTAAAACTCTTTCTATGAGGAAGAACGTCTTTTCCAAAAAAGCTTTTTTGGAAAAAGCTGTGTGTGGGTGCGGAAGAGGGAGTTGTGTTGAAAAAGGAGGCCTCCAGGAAATAACACAGGTGCCCTAGTGGCTACTCCATCCAAACTCATCACAACTCTATAGTTCCTATCTCCTGACAGCTCTTAAAGCTGCAGGCACCTGGGACAAGGCTTGTGGCAGAAACCCGACCCTGGGAGCTGCACCTCACTGCATAGCTGCCACTGCACACTTTTCCTGAGCCATGGCCCAGCCTCAAGCCCCCTGAGAGTCCACTGGCCTTCACAGGGAGCATGCCTAGGGCTCCCAGGAGCCTGCTAGTGGCACCCAAAGGCATACACTGTCATGATCTGGGGCAGAGATCCACCACATCCTGGGGTATGGTGCAGCCCCTTCCCCATCCCTAGTTATTGACTCAGGTCCAGAGACGCCTGTTGTCACCTGTTCGGGACTCCCAGGCCAGGAAGATGAGAAGGACAATGTTGACGAGTTGGAGGAGGAGGAGGAGAAGGAGGAGAGGGCCAGCACAGTCACCTTCACCCTGGAACCGGCACCCCAGGGCGTGGATGTCTCCCAAGCATCCTCTGAGGCCAGGGAGGGATCATCAGGTGAGTGCACTTAGGGTTTCACACACACAGGGCAGGGTGTCAGGTGCTGAGGGGCTGGGGTGTAATTGTCGCTCGGCCTTCTTGGCCTGGACATCATGCTGCACTCTGTGCATGTGGAAGCATGTGCAGAGCCAGTCTGTGCCACGCAGCCCCAGGAGGCCACCCCAGAGCACCCAGGGGCTCCTGCTCACAGGCACACACACATGTCTGACCCCAAGGGGGTTCGCCCTCCCCCCACTGGCAGGAGGCTTGGGACAAGGGCACGTGTCCTCCCGCACACAGACTGAGGAGTGCCACATATGGCACACGGGCATGCCTACACGCTCGAGGCACCACCTGCTTCTGTGGACAGCGCTGCCAGATGCAGGTGTGTGCGCGGCCACCATGGAAGTCCAGGCTGCTCCAGGCCCTTCTCCCGCCCTTGAGAT